CGATAGATGTTTGATTGGAAAGGAGGAGGAGAGGTCAGGTCGATAGATGTTTGATTGGAAAGAAGGAGGAGAGGTCAAGTCGATAGATGTTTGATCGGAAAGAAGAAGGAGAGGTCAAGTCGATAGATGTTTCACTGGAAAGAGCTATTCATGGTATGACTAGTGAACATTGAATAATAATGGATACTCTTTAGCGGAAAGTCAAAACTGTTTTTGGCCCCTCTTATCGCTGTGTGTAGTCACCATCAGGTACGGGTCATTTCTGTATTTGTCTCAATGATTTTACATATTGTATGCAGATTTGATGGAAAGAGAGGCAGATGCAGACAGAGTGAAAAGATACTATACAAGTTGACAACATGGTTGATTTGATTTGATTGAGTATAGGTGTTTTACGGCACTATCGACCCAATTCTGGTCATTTAAGCGCCAACAGGTTTTACAGCAACAAAATCAGACGTGTCTTAGTAAGACATGGCTAGGAGCAGCAAGAACGACAGACACCATTGCAACAACGCAAGACACAGTGAAGTGGAGCTCCATGATCGCCCATGCCAGTCGGCAAGGCACCGGATGATGATGGTGCTCTAATTTATCAGACCGAAGGGCAGGAACCCAAATGGCCGCTGGATCGGAAAAGTAAAGTAAAGAAAGTATGCTCTAATTTTACAACGGTTTGAGAAAAAATGAAATGAAAATACATTGTCTTAAAAAAATCGGGGGCTCTCGTGGCCCAGAGGTTAAGGTGTTCGCCTCTCATTCAAAGGTCCCGGGTTCGAATACGGGTAGCGACGGAAAAATTCTCTTCTCTAAAATTGTCTCCTCTCACCTTCTTTTCTTCTTTCTCTCTTGCAATATTCTGTCGTCTACTTTCGTCTCCACTTTGTTCCCTCACCCCCTCACCTCCGTTACCCCCTCCAAAGGGCTCCAGACTCATTCTGCAGACTTTCTACTGTTACTCCGTGGCTTAAATTTTAGGAAGAGTTTTACGGCACTTGCAACACAATTATAAGATCATATTAGTGCCGAAGATTAAGAGTTCTTACAAGAGAGTAACAAACACAAAAAAGGAGCGAGGAGAGATAAGGACGATAGATGTTTGATAGGAAAAAAGGAGCAAATCACACCAGAGCACCCACCAACGAACCGCGGGCCATGTTATGTCATGATAACATGTCTACCACATCAATGTTTAGTTTTAGTAGAGGTTTTACGACGCATGCAACTGCATAAGGTCATATAAGTGCCGAAGATTAGCTCTAGAGGTGTTACAAGAGAGCAACAAACGCAAAAAAGGAGCGAGGAGAGATAAGGACGATACATTTTTAACAGGAAAGAAGAAGCAAACCACACGAGAGCAGCCGCTAACCACCCACAACAACATCAATTCCTGCGCGGACTTGTGGGTCAGACTGACGTGTCCTCTTTGGCATTTCTCATTGTAATTGTAGCCTGTCAGGATTTCTCATTGTAATTGTAGCCTGTCAGGATCTCTCAATGTAATTGTAGCCTGTCAGGATTTCTCATTGTAATTGTAGCCTGTCAGGATTTTTCATTGTAATTGTAGCCTGTCAGGATTTCGGACAACTGAGCATCAAGTAGCAAACACATGTATGTTGCTGAGGCGAAAAGATTGGTCTTATTATACGTATAGAGAGAGAGATCATATATATATATATATATATATATAGATAGACACACACACACACACACACACACACATATATATATATATATATATATATATATATATATATATATATATATATATATATATATATATATATATAATGTACACACACATGTATAATAAAAATGTTTGTGTGTGTGCGTGCGTGTGTGTGTGTGTGAGCGTGTGTGTGTGTGAGCGTGTGTGTGTGTGTGTGTGTGTGTGTGTGTGTGTGTGTGTGTGTGTGTGTGTGTGTGTGTGTGTGTGTGTATGTGTGTATGTGTATCGGTGTGTGTTTGATTTTGTGTGTGTGTGGTTGACGTTTTTGTGATTTCTGATGTTGCTGCAGTCGTTGTTGTTATACTATATTGTTGTTGTGATCATAATGCACATGCCGTGATACTACAAACAGTCGACTGACCTGCAATCTGGGCGACACGCGTCCGTTGCCAGCCGGGAAGGAACCAAAGTTGGATTTCACCTGGAAGACACAATGACGACGACACTGTCAGTACAGTCTAGTACACACATAGCGAAATCGGCGGGACGCAACAATCTTTTTGTTATGCACGGATTTCGCTATGTAAATGTGTCCACTACAAAAGCACAGATACTCGATGACATCAAAATATTCTCTCTCTCTCTCTCTCTCTCTCTCTCTCTCTCTCTCTCTCTCTCTCTCTCACACACACATTTTCTGTCTCTCTCTCTCTTTTTCTCTTCCTCTCTCTCTCCCTAAAAGGGGATATAAGCATGATCTTATGCACAGTAGAATTGTAAATGAGCTGATTTATCAATGTCATGCTCATACTGTACCGGAACAACATAGGGGGAACTGCTGCTTTTTCTTTTCTCATCCTTACTATCGTCATTTTTTCCTCTACTTCTTTTGTATATTTGTCACTTTGTTGTGAACTGCCATTTCCGGGGTGCTACTGCATAAGGTCATATGAGCGAGAAGGGGTTGTGTCTACAGAGAAGTCTTTACAGGGAATCAGACTTGCTCTGCTCACCTCTCCAGCTTCAACAGCACAAAGTGTGTTTCGACTATCAAGGCACTCCAGAAATAGCGGGTCACAAGCGAGTGACAAACTTAGAAAAGAAGTAGAGGAAAATGGCGATAGAAGTAAGTATTAGAAAAGAAAAAGCAGCATTTCCCTGTTGCAGTTCAGGCACATTTATGAGCATGACATTGATGAATCAGCCCATTTACCGTTACAATCTTACTGTGCGTAAGAACTCGAGATGGTTAATATCTCCCCTTTGGGAATGGCCTAAAGACATTCCAGTCATTAACACGGCCCCGAGGTCAGAGTGAATTCGAGTCTACCCACACAGGTGTTCAGAGTGGATGTTTCACCTTAGCTTAGTTTTTTAGTTTTAGTAAGAGTTTTACGACGCTCGCAACTGCATAAGGTCATATGAGTGCCAGAAGATTAGAGGTGTTACAAGAGAGTAACAAACATAAAAAAGAAGAAGGGGAGATAAGGACGATAGATGTTTGATAGGAAAGAAGAAGCACACCACACCAGAGCACCCGTCAACTCTCACTCACCTTAGCTGCAAGTGTATAGAAAAGTTTTTTGTTATTTTTCTATAAGCAGAATGTGCAAAATTCTGTAGATTTACACCTCTTGCAACACTGTAAGGCTTTTGAAGTGGCAGTACCTCCCAATTTAGCGGCCATCTTTGAGAGGACGTCCAAGGGAAATGGGTAGATTCGTGCAAAGTGACTTTCTCAAGAACACAACCTTGGACAGGGCTTGGTCTCGAGCCCACGATCTGTCTGTCTGCCTGTTTGTCTGTCTGTCTGTCTGTCTGTCTGTCTGTCTGTCTGTCTGTCTGTCTGTCTGTACACCCAGCGACCTACCTGTAGTCGTGGAGACACCCGCCCCATGTTGCCAAATCCAGAGTCCAACTTCAAGTTGCCCTGAGGGAACAGAAAACAGAAACAAATCATCGCTACCTTAGATTTACAAGTTCCATCTGACAGTTTTTTGGCCGTTTTGAAGGGGAGATAGATGTTTGATAGGAAAGAAGAAGCATACCACACCAGAGCACCCGCCAACCACCCACTATTCGAAATCGTTATCAAGATACTCACACAATAAATTATTGCATTAATAAAAGCTTGACATCTTGTGAATCTAAATATGTTTGACGTCAAGTTTCGTTTCTCCAAACTGGGTACTGAGGGAACAGATAGTAGCCTACCTACCTATCTATACACTTCACTTTTCTACTATCGTTCTCTGCTCTCTAGTGGATCACTACCTTGTCGTGGTTAAAGAGCTTGTGTGCCTCAGTGACCCCAAGAGCTACGCTGGCTGGAGCTAATTCTCCTGGTAGAGCCACCCATGCCAGACAGGTGGACGGGTAGAGGTCAGGTAGAGGTCAGGTAGAGGTCAGGTAGAGGTCAGGTAGAGGTAAGGTAGAGGTCAGGTAGAGGTCAGGTAGAGGTCAGGTAGAGGTCAGGTAGAGGTCAGGTAGAGGTCAGGTAGAGGTCAGGTAGGGGTCAGGTAGAGGTCAGGTAGAGGTCAGGTAGAGGTCAGGTAGAGGTCAGGTGGAGGTCAGGTAGAGGTCAGGTAGGGGTCAGGTAGAGGTCAGAAGGGGTCAGGTAGAAGTCAGGTAGAGGTCAGGTAGGGGTCAGGTAGAGGTCAGACCAAGGACCTCACTGTATAACCTCCTGGGTCAGACATAGCGTGATCCCACGGCCCTCCAGGTTTCCGAGGTTCAGCTCAGGGCGAACAACCCAGACTAGTAAGAATTATATGTGTCACGGCACGGCGCAATCAGGCGCTCGTCAAATTTGGGGCATATAGAGTTATTGATATAATCTTAAAACTTGTTCATTTGTCTTGCTTTTGATGGAAATACTATCCATCTATCTTCAATAGAAGTTGAGATACTTTCGATTCAAGGAGACGGGGGTCACATGGTGTCAGAGGTGAAATTAGAAAGAAAATGGACGCCAAAGTTTGGGAACTTCCAAAGCTTGAGAATCCCTGTAAACTGTAAATTCCTATTTTGTGTACCATTAATCAACATTTTTCCGTAAAAGTCAAACGGCAGTGTGTGTGTTTTTTAATTGACACAAAAAGTGTTGAGCCAACACATAAAAATTCACTAAAAAGTGCCTAACGGCAAGAAAAATGCAGTTTTCTTTGGTTTCTTTATTTTGACGAGCGTCTGATTTCACCACGATGCCTCACATATGTTACGGAAACAGCAACAAAGAGAAACCATGTTATTTCTGTGTGTGATGGACCTTCAGACTGAGTCTCTTGGGACTCGTATGAATGCTGGCAGTAACCATTCGTGGGAGACGTTGACCAAGATGGCCCAAAACAGACAGCTGGAGGTCTTTTGTGGGGGCTCTCGTGGCCTAGAGGTTAAGGTGTTGGCCTCTCATTCAAAGGTCCCGGGTTCGAATCCGGGTAGCGACCGAAACATTTTCTTCTCTAAAATTGTCTCCTTTCATCCCCTTTCCTGCTCTCTAGCAATGTTCTGTTGTTTGCTTTCATTTCCACTTTCTGTCTCCACCCCTCACCTCCTTTGCCCCCTCCTCTGGGCTCCTGACTCTTTCTGCAGCCTTTCTACTGCTACTCCTTGGCTCCTCCTTACTGCTGTCTTTCTGCCACACTAACTGTTCTTCTGGTAGGAAAGATCTACACCTAGCCTTCTCGGACAAGGGCAAAAAATCTCGGAGGGCCCGTGTGCAAGTTGCGCACGTTAAAGATCCCTTGGTGGTCTAAAATCGATAAGAGTAGGCTTCGGCCGCCACCCGGGCAAAATTCAAAATTTCACGATTACGAGTCCAGTAGCCTAACCACTAGACTACCGACGCCACCATGGAGGGGGGGGGGGGGGGGGACGACTCACCGAGTTGTTGCCGTACTCAGTTGTCTCCTCTCTGTGGGTGACCACTTTCCCGTCTGCTGACGTCACCGTGGTTTCCGTAATGCGTTTGGTGGTCCCGCCTTCTTGCACGGTGAAAGAGCGCACCGACTTGCTGGTGAATCTGGAAGTTATAGTGAAAGTTTTACGGCACTTGCAACACAGTAAGGTCATAGGTTTTTTAGTTTGGTTGAGGGGGGGTTGTTGTTTTTTTAGTTTTTAGTAAGAGTTTTACGGCACTTACAACACAGTAAGGTCATACAAGTGTCGAAGGTTAGAGGTGTTACAAGACACAAAAGTAACAACTACAAAAAGAAGGAGGGGAGATAAAGACGATAGATGTTTGATAGGAAAGAAGAAGGAAACCACACCAGAGTACCCGCCAACCACCCACAAAGTCCATCACCAAAATACTCCTGAACCAGCTATCTAACGATGACGGGGCCGGTAACTTAACCACTTAATGGCTAACGACACCACGACGTTGGGAAAGATTAAAACTTTGTAATTCGACTTTTCTGTAAAAAAAAAAACAGCATGAAAAAATACAACCAAAAAACAACCGAACAGCCAGAATAGTCAAAGCTGTAAAAGTCGAAAAACAAACAAACAAAACAAAACAAAACAGAACAAAAAGAAGTAGAATGAAAAACAAACAAACCAGCCAGACTATACCGAAAGTGATGGACAGTGACAAACGAGGGACAATCAACTGAACGTGGACAACTTTCCCTTGTTTTTAAATAAAGGTTTTATTAAGTGGGTTTTTTTCAGTTTTAGTAGAGGTTTTACGGCGCTCTCAACTGCATAAGGTCATTTGAGCGCCAGAAGATTAGAGCTGTTACAAGAGAGTAACAAACATTAAAAAGAAGTAGGGGAAATAAAGACGATAGACGTTTGATAGGAAAGAAGAGGCAAACCATACCAGACCATCTGCCAACCACCCGCCGATTTTTTTAAAAGGTAGAATTACACTGTTGTGAAAATGTGAAATGGTTTACGTTTTTTAACGCCCCTATCAACACTATAATTTGGTTATTTAATAAGAGAGGGACCTTCGAGTTGAAAGTCCATCTCCTGTTTTGTTTAGGTAAGAGTTTTGCGGCACTTGCAACACAATAAGGTCATATAAGTGCTTAAGATTAGGGGTGTTACAAGAGATTTGTTTTTGTTTTAGTAGAGGTTTTGCGACGTTCGCAACTGCATAAGGTCATATGAGCGCCAGAAGATTAGAGGTGTTACAAGAGAGTAACAAACATACAAAAGAAGGAGGGAGGGGAGATAAGGACGACAGATGTTTGATAGGAAAGAAGAAGCAAACCACACAAGAGCACCCGCCAACCATCAAACTTACCCTTGCTGGGAACTCATGGTTGGTAGACCAGTCTTGGCTCGGTCGTTGGGTTCTGAGGAGGAAAAAAAGAAAGAAAATGATAGGATTGTGGGTGGTTTGTGGGTGCTCTGGTATGGTTTGTGGGTGCTCTGGTGTGGTTTCCTCTTTCTTTCCTAGCAAACATCTATCGTCCTCATCTCTCCTTTTCTGTTGTGTTTGTTACTCTCTTGTAACACCTCTAATCTTCGGCACTTATGTGACCTAATTGTGTTGCAATGGGACCAGGTTGAGCCAGCGAGACTGTGGCCGGACAATCATTGGAGTTTGAGATGGTATAAGAACTTTGTAAATGAAGAGCTCAGCCCACGTTGCCGAAGATGCAGCCATGGAAAGGAGGACGTCAAACATATGTTTGAATGTCCATGAACAATGGCAATTCGAATGGAGTTATTTCGACGAGTGGAGGTGCCGCTAAGCATATTGACAATGGAGCCGAAAAAGAGCCTCGTTCTAACTCGAAGATTTCTTCGTGGAGTCCGCCAGGCCCATTAAGGAAACAAAACAAAAAATCATCATCATCATCATCATCATCATCATCATCATCATCATCATCATCATCATCATCATCATCATCATCATCATCACCACCACTACCACTGTGAGGATGGTGGAGGTGGCAGTGGTGGTTGTGGTCTTACCAGCTTAAGACCCCCCCCCCCCCTCTTTCAAGGGCAGTGCTACTGACTGAAGTTGTCTTTAGGCCATTCCCAAAGGGGGATATTAACATGTTCTTATGCACAGTAGAATTGTAAATGGGCTGATTTATCAATATCATGCTCATACTGTGCCGGAACAATATAGGGAGAACTGTTGCTTTTTCTGTCCTCGTCTTTACTATCGTCATTTTTCCTCTACTTCTTTTGTATGTTTGTCACACTCTTAAGACCCGTTATTTCCGTGGTGCCTTGATAGTCGAAGCAGACGTTGTGCTGTTGAAGCTGGAGAGGTCAGCAGAGTAAGCCAGATTCCCTGTAGGGACTTCTCTGTTGACATCCACCACTTGGCGTTCATATGACCTTAATATTTTGCTGTTGCGAGCGCCGTAAAACCTTACTAAAACAAACATGTCGACGTATCTCGAGGCCTTTCCCCTAAGCCCGGGTTGTTTTAGTAAGAGTTTTACGGCACTTGTAACACAATAAGGTTATTTAAGTGCTAAATATTAGAGGAGTTGCAAAAGAGTAACAAAAAAAGGAGGAGAGATTAGGACGATAGATGTTTGATAGGAAAAAAGGAGGAGAGATTAGGACGATAGATGTTTGATAGGAAAGAAGGAGCAAACCACACCAGAGCACCAGCCAACCACCCACTAACTTACTCTAAGCCTGGGTTGGGCCAAACAGGCAGGGTCCAAGCCCGTCTCCTAACTGACCTAAAGTGTATCAATGGGGGCGTAAACAACACATACAGTTTCTTAAACAGATCAGGGGAGAGTTTACCGCTACGTGACTAGCGGTAGACAGTTGGTGGCTGCAGAACCAGGAAAACTGTTAGTTTAGCTATAGTTTTAGTAAGAGTTTTACGGCACTTGCAACACAATACGGTCATATAAGTGCCGTAGATTAAAGGTTTTACAAGAGAGTAACAAGCACAAAAAAGAACGAGGGGAGATAAGGACGATAGATGTTTGATAGGAAAGAAGAATAAACCACATCAGAGCACCCGCCAACCACCCTCTCAAAACTTTTGAAAGATCTTAAGTTCAGACATGCCAAGAGGGCACTGGAGAAAATAAAGATAACAACGATGAGTCCGAGGCCTACTCCAGATAGCCAAAAGTAGTGGTTATCTGGATTATTCATAATACCCAAGTCGTCATCATCATTAACAACAACAACAACAACAACAGCAGCAACAGCAAAAATATTACAACAACAATAACAAAAACAACAATAGCGCAGCAAAAATGACAATAACAACAGCAACACCAACGAAAACAACAACAACAACAACAACAACAACGACAACAACAACAACAACAACGACAACGACGACCATAACAAAAAAGACAACATAATAATAATAGAGACAATAGAAAGAACAACTACGATAACAGCAGCAACGAAAGCAATGGTAGGTTCTGTACAACCCAAGTATTGTTCTTACTCTAAACTCGTTTGTACAATCCAGAAAGCGGCATAGATAGATAGATAGATAGATAGATAGATAGATAGATAGATAGATAGATAGATAGATAGATAGATAGATAGATAGATAAACAGGCAGACGGGCAAACAGGCAGATAGAGAGACAGACAGACAGACAGACAGGCAGAGAAACCACTCTAAGTTATATACAATCTACCGCCTGCAGTAAACAATAAGAAGACAAGTATCGACTGTCTCCCTTGTCTTCTCAGAGGGTCCTTTCAGCAATCCAGAAAGACAGATAAATAGATAGATAGATAGATAGACAGACAGACAGACAGACAGACAGACAGGCAGACAGAGAGACAGACAGGCAGAGAAACCACTATAAGTTATATACATATATACAACCTACCGCCTGCAGTAAACAATAAGAAGAAAAGTATCTACTGTTCCCCTTGTCTTCTCAGAAGGTCCTTTCAGCATCCGCGTTGCTGACAGAGGGGTTTATTTGATGTTATCTGTCCCAGTGATCCGCCATCAGTTGTGTGGGCGCTGTCCATAGACTCGAAGTAATCGTGATATCCTAGATCAGGCACTGTCATGGTGGACACTCTTAACTCTCTCTCTCTCTCTCTCTCTCTCTCTTTCTCTCTCTCTCTC